CAAGCCTTGGTAAAAAATCAGAAAATCCTTACTAGTGTTAAGATAAATATAGTCAATCAGAACTTCACATAAATAGACATGGATAACTCCAAAAGTAATGCCTCCTATTTATTTCCATGGAAACTACAACAAACATAAAGAGCACAGTAACAATATTTGATAGAGCATACTTTCAGCCACAAAACACTTTATTTCACAGTCACTATATGCATTCCATAGCCAGCAATGAACAAGAGCCAATATGCTGTGTTCATAAAAATCAGTGTGGCCATACAAACAACATCTCCTCTGATGTCAAGGGCTAACATAATAAAATAGGAGACCTTACTATCAAAGCAGCCCTTGTGTATCAAAAGACAAGGCAAGACAAGTATGATCTTTAAATTCTAGTCATGGGATGTGTTGTGACAGTATTATGCCAGTACTGGACTCTTTTTGAGGTGTAAGACATCAGAAAGTAGCTACAGCTTCCTTGCAGATGTCTGAGCACGGCCCTCCCAAGCCCACACAGACTTGAGGACCCAGGGATGAGAGCTCAGCCCAGGACCCACGTGGAACAACATCCCTGTGGGTGGGCAATGGACGGGACCTTATCCATAAGATCACCTGTTCTTACTCTTCTTGAGTGGGGTGATTTTCAGTTTTAGGCAGGTTTAGAAAAGTATTGTAAATGGATGTTGATTATATAAATGTTTCAGGGAACACAAAGTGTTTGAATTAGTCAATACTAGGTTAACCTCAGCTCCCATCTTTAATACTGCACATATCTGAGAGCAGATGTTTGTCATGCTTCACTTCTCTCTTTATCTGAACAGCTCTAAGTATTTGTTGCACACTCAGCACTTTAATTTTTGCAGAAAAATCAGTCAGTAGCAGATAAATCAATTATATTTTGTTTTGCCATTGACTTAGTTGCTATGTTACAAATTATACACGGGGTACATTTTGACAATCTGTGAAAGAGAAAACTGTTTTTCTTTTTGTCTCAAAGCTTGCTTCATGAGGCCTTTCTGGTGATTAGACTCTAAGTGACAACTGCAAATTATCTAGGGGGACAAGTGGTGGGTGTAACTGTGCCACAGTACCTCTGCTCATGGTTGTAAAGATAAGCAGAAGTGGGACAAGCAGTCTTCTTTTTTCAGGGATGCGGCTTGAAGGAACTGACCACTGCAAAAGGCAATAATGCTTGTGCATGGCAACCAAGGCACCACTCCCTGCTGGCTTATCTGTTGGGCCACGTATGTCACACTAACAGAGAAAAAAAAAGAAAAAAAACCAGAGAAATGGGGGAAAAGGCCCTCACTAAACTAAGGACTTTGGAGAAGAACTCCCAAAGAAACCTTTGGAGGAGAATTCCCAGAGGGGAAAACCTCTTTGGAAGAACCGCCCCCTGGGGCCTGCTTGCTGCAAAGCTTCCTGGCTTCCTCCTATCCCTCATGGTGACCAGACGATTCCTGAAAACCTGCTATGAACATCTCTTGACCCACGGTGGTGAGTACCTCTCTCTTGCTTTCTATAAAGACTCCTTGCTTTTTATTTCCTATCTCTTTTCTATCGGCCATCACCCCTTTCCCTAAGCAACTAGGATTTGTAATAAACTGGTTGGGCTAACATTTGACTCATTTGTGTCTTAATCTGGCCAGCAGGTATACAGATATTAAAAGAACCTCTTCTTCCTCCTATAAATTGGAGCGAGACACAATCACATGAAATAAGAACAAGCACACCAGAACAATAATTTTTATGTCCTTTATGCTCATGTTTTGCAAGCACTTATTGCTGCGGAGTCCTAAAAACAGAAGCTTTTGTTTGGTGACATGTACCCAATTAACTATTTTCTGAAAGCAGAAAGAAAAACAAATTTCATTTGCTCATATTTCTCGGATATTTAGGATCACTTTATGTCCCCCAAAACTTTGAAACAAGCTGCTGAAATCTAGCTTTGCACTGTTCACTAAGTGAAACAAAAGTTCAGAAAGTGTAAATGTTAATGGGAATAAAGATTTTAATTCAGTTGAAATCGGTCTTTGTGCTCCTAGATGAACATTGACTGAATATCTTAAGTTTCTCAGCGTCAGGACTCAGATGAATTTCCAAGGTTGACTATAAGACAACAATTCAAAAGACAGAGAGCATCTGAGAAGGTTCTGAATTGTCAGACAGGTAATTTTAACAGCACTAGATCAAAGTACAGTGATTGTGTACTTTAACATGAATATGTTTAACCAGGCATGATGATTTCAAACAGCTTTTAAAGCTAAGCTTTATTTTAAAATGCTTCTTAAGCAAAGTACTTCATAATTTTTAGACAGTTCTCTCTCTAAACCCTTAACCATTTCACAACATAAATGAAGATCTTATAGCTTGATTAGTAAGTAAGCATCACACCACAGCAGTCAGCTTCTGTCCCAGCAGGGAATGCCTAGCCTAGTGTAACCAAACACACTTCAGTGTAGTCCTCTAACAGCATCTTGGAAGGATGGCTCACTGTTCAGTGGCTGGCCAAATCTTCAGTCTTCCACCTGCCCTCATAAGGGTCTTGTAGGCTTTCTCATGCTGAGGCTGAAAAAAGCAAAAGATCCCACTACTTCTTTTAACAGCAAAATGATGTAAATTCATAGGATTTAGAACCTGCTTATGTCAATAAATCTTTTGTTATTACCTTTTCTCCCTAAATATACAAAAGGAACAAACTGTTTTCTGATATCTTCTCCTCATTAACTGTAGGCCGGATTAAATCTCTCTGAAGCTGCTTTGTGTACTCTTTGTGTCATGTACCTGGAGGTAACCCCTGAGATATGGAACAGGAAACCATGGCTGAAGCAGTCTCATGCTCAGGAACAGCATATATCCCAATCAGAGGCAAGTGAGGGCTTCCCAGCAGCACTGAATTATTGCGTGCATTGAGTTCAGCTGAGTATTGCTTTGGACAGCAGCATGCCCATGTCTGCCAGCCTGAGAGCTCAAGTTGTGGAGCCCAGATCCATATATAGCTCAATGCAGCTCAAATAAAGCACATGAGTACCAAGGGCAGCATAAGGAGAGCGTGCAGCTTGGCCTCAATAGGTCTTGGAAAACAGGGCAAGCTGCTGTCACAAAAAAAGGCAGGTTGTATCAAACAGTGGCCACTGCTGGTAAAAGTTTTCACTCACCTCTGCAGGGCTCAGTCTCTGTTCAACCCATTTCTCAGCTCTTCTCTCTTTACTTTTTGGCATTCAGTGGCAAGAACAGTCTACTGCTCACTTACTGTCCTTCATAAAACAAAAGGCAATTTTTTCCACTTGGGGGCTCAGCTTGGAACACAGACAGGTTCAGCTGCAGCCTTAATGGATCCAGGAGTATCATCCCCAGTAACATCTTTGCAAGAGAGCTTTTGCAAATTCTAATTTAAAAGAGTTCTCATGTTTTTCCTTTTTTCTTTTTCTTTTCCATTTATTACTCCACTGCTAAAGGAAGCATGAAGTATTATAGTCTTCAAAGCAAACAGAATTGCATGAAAGATTATCATGCCAATTTCCTTTGCAAACTACATTAACTAGGTTTGTTTTGTTTTGCAAGCTTATCGGGTCAAAGAGCTTAGAAATACAGTGAAAAGATGCCTTGTGTCTTCCTCCTCATTCTCTCTTCTTTAAATGCAAGACCTCTCACAGGAAATTAACAATGTCAAATGTAAGTCCATTTTATTTAGGACAGTCCTTATGGCTTGCTGACAGTAAAGTCAAGGTAGGATCTTCATCTGGCTTCAGTATACTCACATGGTTTTAAACTTGCTTAATGGTAGCCTAAAATATTCTTGCTCAAAAGAAGGCAAGATAAATGCTGATGATGTGCCACAGCAGATCAAAATTAAATTAATCCTGTGCTTTCCCACTGTGGCTTTTTCTCCTTCCACCATTGATCTGAAAAGCTTGCAGAAAAGATAACCTCTGCTGCGAGTTTGTACATTGTCAGCACAGAGGAAAGGGTAAAGGTCTTTAATGGCAAACTTAGAATTGCAGCTTTGACACAAGTCGTGCCAGTGCCTGGGTGCCAAGTTCATTCATCACCTGTGTGCCTGTTGGAGCAAGGTGGCTTCTGACAGGAGTTCAGAGAACACTCATTGCCTTAACCCTGGCATGCAACACCCTGGCCCCATGAAGCCTTATTCTAGTGTTCTCACTAGTGATACTCTTAGCAAATAGCATCATAGAATCATAGCACTGAGGGAGGGGAGGGGACCATTAAAGACCATCTAGTCCAACTGCCCTGCAACAAACAGGGACACCTACTGTTCAATCAGGTCCCTCAGAGACTTATTCAGCCTGATCTTCAAACTCCAGAGACAGGGCAGCCACCACATCTCTGAATAGTGCTTCACCATCCTTATTCTGAAGAACATTCTCTTTATATCCAGTTTAAATCTCCCCTCTTTTAGTTTGACATAAACATAAACATATGTTTGTATTGTTTTTCAACTTAGGTTATGGTCCTGAAAGTGCAGTTGTCTGGGTTCACAACATCGACTCATCTCTGCCTTTTGCTTCTCTGTAGCCTTTTTCACACACCCGGAAGGCCACCTCCACTGAACAAGGCAGTTGGCTGCTGCTTGGCAGCTCAGGTACCTGGACTGGTATCTATTTCTTGCTCCTGTACCTACCAACAAGCAGCACAGGAGCTGAGGGCAGGCGATACAATCAATGAGAGATTTATCTTTGATAACTGAGTACAGAATGAAGCGGTAAGCGCCATTTAGTGATACACAAGATACACATCTAACGATTGTCGCAGTTAAAATCAGGTCAATTCCTTCGAAAAAGTCCAACAGATTTGCCAGCGCCCCGGGCTCAGTGCAACAGGTGCCAGCTGGACCGCGAGGCTCTGCCGATGAAATTTCGGGAAGCGATCGCTGACTCCCCCCCACTCCACGGCGGCGGGTCGGATGCGGGTTCGGCGCGGGGCGGGGGCCGCCGAAACCCCTCCCCGAGGGGCAAGTCACCAGGGGGTGGGGAGATGGTGACAGCACCAGGAAGCCGCGCTCGGCAGCGGCAGACAGTGGGAAGCAGCTGGCCGGAGCGGCAGTCGTACCCGCCTAGCCGTCCCCGCTATGGGCTCCCCGCAGCGCCCGCCGCTCGCCCATGTCTTCAGGGGCACCTTCGTGCACTCCCGCCTCGACGTGCCCATGGAGATCCTGCACGGCCGCCTGCTTGGGGTTGACGACGGCGGCACGGTGAGAGGCGAGGGGCGGTGCAGGCACCTACGCCGTCCGGGAGCGGTCAGCAAACGGGAACCGGTCCGATCGGGACGCGGGGGGGGGGGGGGGGGGTCCTCGGGGAAAGCATCGGTGTCTGGGGGGAGCCGGAGGGGACGGGGACGAAGCAGTGTGTCCGCGGGGAGCCCCAACCTGCTGCGGGGCGCCGTGTGTTCCCAGAGCACCTGGAGCGGGGCTGTGCTCGGCTGGTCTCCGTTTTCCTTCAGTCTTACAGGTGAGTTTGTCATTCTCTGTGTCAGAACAATAAGAGTGGTTGTAGATAATTGCCGAGTCCCCCCTGTACAGAGAGGTCTTTTTCTTCTTGTTACAAGAAAAAACATGGAATGTGCCCGTAAAAAGTTAGGGGAACGGTACTGCTGGGCACGTTGATGGCACAAACCGCGTCTAAAACGAGTGTAACACTTACTGATAGCGCAGGGCCGGTCCCGGCAGGAAACTGTGCTGCCCTCAGCCGTGTCACCGGTGAGACTTGGCTTCATGTTGCCTAAGCAGAGCAGCGATTTCCCCCAGATTTAGCAGTGCATGTAGCAACCCTAAGTATAAGGAAAAAAGTCATTTTCTTTCCTTCTGATGACTGTACAATTGCATCAGGCTTCGGGAACATTTGAAATACATTGAAAATACACACTGTTAGCTCCTGCAGTTCTCATTCACCATCCACACAAGTCCATGAATACTTTCAAGACAGCTCCCCTGCAGTTATTCCGAGTCTGGCACAGGGTATAGTAAAGTCCCTGAGAAGCTGGATAGGAGGTCAATAAAAACATAGAGAACTAAGCATTGGAAGACGTCAACTTAAACCAACAGAACTGAATGAATAAAGGTTTGGTTTGTGTAAATTGAGTGCAGGAACCAGAAACTTGCTCTGTTAGTGCTAATTTTTGATAAAAGGTCACTATATTATGTTCTTAGCAAATTCATGCTTTTAAAGGATTTTCTTGAAAAACACACACGGTATCAGTGTACCAGGCTCTATTGATTTCTGCCTCAAGAGAGTCACTCTCCTTCTCTGAAATACTCAAGACCTGACTGCACGCCTACCTGTGCAGCTTGCTGTAGGGGTCTGCTTTGTAGGGGGGTTGGATTTGATGATCTCTGGAGATCCCTTCCAACCCCTACAGTTCTGTTATTCTGAGTCTCTCTCCCCTTCTCTTGGTGAACAAGGATACACTGGATGTGTTTGCCATGCATAAGTTGATGCATTCCCATGCCGTTGTTTAAGAAAAAATCTGGTGAAACACTATTGTCCAAAAGGAAAACTTTCACCAGAATAGATTGATAAGGACTTTTATAGTCTTCTCTTTTTGAGAATTCGTGACATTTTACTATTCCGGGGCCTGACACAGTGCAATTTGTTACCCTTTAGCCTGTTATCATAATTTTGCCACATGCAGAACTTCCACTGTAATCACTGAAGATGTGCTTTACAGTGGTTCGAAGATTTTTACCTCTATTGTCAAGATATACACCAATACTATTTTGCTATTGCTTCCAAAGAATTAAGTTTAACTAGGTTTAAATAAACTTAACTGCCTCATTTTGCTGATTCCATCATGCAAAAGCTTTGCATGACCTCAGAAGAGGTGAACAGCTTTTGTAAACAGCCAGGTGCTGTTATCACAGCAGCAGGAGTGCACAACCAGTGCACAGAGTACTGCCTGGTCCCCTCCTGCACACAGGGACACGGCTGTAGAGACACAGATAGGGTGTCAGTTCTCTTTGCTTCGCCCGCAGATGAAAAGGGAGCTTTAGCAAAGAAAGCACTGCTGTCAGGATTGCACACCCAAGTTATGATAGGTTAACAAAATAAGCCTATGTTTAGTTAAGTGGTTTGCAGAGCAGCACAATAGAAAGAGTAACATTCGTCAAGGTAAGGAAAATAAAGCAGACTGAGTTATCATTGAAATCATTGGTGTGAATAACATAGCTGAGTAAAATATTAAGAAAGTAGAACAAGTATCAGGATAAAAGCTCCCTTTGAATGCCTAGAAGGAGCAAATGTTATGGAATAAGTGTTGCTATTGTCAAGTAATTACAATGTGGCTTATGGCATAGCAAGTGGTGTGTGTTGGCTGCCAGGGAAGGAAGGTATCAAGTCAAAAACAAACATGTGGAATTCATTGCTTCATCCTTCTTAGCATTTTGGGCTACTGAGTTTTTGAGTAGCAGGGTCTGATAAGTGCTGCTGTCTCTCATCTACCCTTGTATTTCAGTTTTGAGAACTACATAAGCAATAGGCATCACGTCTGTAATCATCAAACTGCTGAAGATGGTAGCCTCATTAAACAGTGCTGGCAGCAGCTCAGCGAGGCCAATAGGACAACAGGATGGTTGTAGGCAGGAAACAGCTGTGTGTTAGTGCCAGCAGCTGACCGCAGGGAGAGATGTGAAGGATGTGGGAGGAAGAGAAGAAGGGACCTGTTGCCTGTTGCTCGCGTTCAACTCAGTGTCATAGCCAAAACAAACACAGATACTGCTGGATAAAAAAAAAAAAGAAGAAGAAGAAGAAGTTTCCTAGGGCGGTTTAACTCACTTCCCACTCTTTTGGTAGCAAACTTACTCACACTGTGACACTTGGAGGCACTCAGGGTTTACTATATCAGGGTTAATGCATAATTAACTGGGCCATCTATGTGCTAATTTTGTGTGGGGCTTTGAACATCTCCTGAAATTAAGAGAACAGGCTGAACTGGTTGCCAGGATGAGGACCACTCAGCTCATCATCTTCTGATCCTTTAGATGCATCACATAGCACATCACAGTTGATTTGCAGCTGTTGGCAGCTGTTAGCAGCTGTTGATCTACGTACGGTGATCCACCTGATTTTTTTTGTGATAATACCTTTCCAAATTACTGGTTACTGTCCTTTCACAAGAGGAAATTCAAAGTCTTACCAATGCACTTTTCTTATTCTGTAGTGATTTTGGCACAGAATTTCTTCTTGACTTTACAATGATAGGGTGTAGAACTAGTTAAAAGGTTTGGTTCCTAGTAAATCATAGCAGCTGTATTGAATGTACAAGCAAATACTCAGGAGAATGTGCAAGTCTGGGATCTCAAAGACTTTAAGCAACTCACTGTTAGAAAGATGGCCAAAACAAAAGCCTCATAAAGCAGTGGAGGATATCTCATGAAAAAACCGAGCAGTTCTATTGGGAAGTTTGTTTGAAAAGAGCACAGATGTCCTGGTTATTCATTCACTGCTGTATTTGGCAGTAATGAACTGACTGTCAGGATTAGTTGCTGGTTTCACTTGTCCAGTCCCTTGAATTATTATTTTTTTATTTCTTCCACAATTTGTGTGTTTTATTTATTTGCCCTTTAAGAGCATGTAATAGTCACTTTTCCATGGCAACGCCCATTTCCAGCATTTGCCTTTTTTTTTTTTTTTTTGGTTTAGCAGCACTAACATTAGTCATTCTGAATCCATTTTTACTTTGGCATCTGAGTGACATTTTCTTTATTGCTCATCGGAAATTTCGGTAGGTCTGTATTCTGATCCCTCAGCAGATAGAGTAGTTGAACTGGCTGAAGGGTCTGAACATCCTTCTTGAGAAGGAAAAAGACACTGCTTCTTGTGAACCTGTAATGGACTATAGCCTTGCAATTATTTCAGGTGTGATATTTGTTGATATGATATGATATTAATAGCTTCTTTTCTGTCTAAAAGAGTTAAACCTGCTCTTTAGACAAGGTAAAAAAAACCTCAAAACTTATATCTGTCTTAGATCAGTCTTGAGTTTCAAGAAAAAAGCTCTTACTTAGACCATGGGACCCAGAAGACTATGTGTTATTTTTAGGCAGAAATTGTGGTTTGGCAAGAATTTATAGGCTCTGAAATCCCAGAATATACTGTCTTCTGTTGGAGGAGGCAGTGGGGTCCTCTGCTCATCCAGCACCATGGAAACCTGGATCCTGCCTGGAGCTTGTTGCAGCAATCCCAGTGCCTGGGCTCCTGATCCTTGTTTCTTGCAAAGTTGTTGAGCCTAGCGTTGTCAGATGAGAGAACTGAAAAGCTGAGAATTCAGCCTGCAAGAATCGTGTTTTAGATTAAAATACCATAGAATCTGAAAATAGAATAAAAGTGTGCTAAATCTCTTAGCTGGCAACAGAAATGCAGCAGCAGTGGAGCTAATGCGCTCTGGGAGCAAAATGGGAATGAGTAACCTGAGACGGGAGGGTTGGTTTTTGGTGTGTTTATTTGTTTGTCTGTCTGTTTGTTTGTTTTAAGGAATAAAGACCTTCGGCATGTTTTTAATCTGTTCTGTAAAATTAAAGGATTATCTGATTTTTTTTTTCCTCTAGCTTCTTTCACCTATATAAATAAAATAAAATAAAATAAAATAAAATAAACATCATTGAAGGTATGAGCAGAAAGTTTGGAAATACTTAGCACAGTGCTAGGCAATCGTGGACAAAGTAATTAAGTACTACAGGCATCATGGTAGGTTGTAATATATGGAGTATTACATGGGAGTAATACAGATTACAGGTATAGGTGCAGTGTATTACTTCATTCTTCTCTTACATGTTAGAAACAACTGGAGAAGCTTGTTCATTAGGCTGTGAGTAGGTAGCTGAAAATCATAGCTGGCAGGCTAAATATTTCAACACAAACATCACTCTTATTAATTGTATATCCATTGTAAGATATGACTTCCTTTACTATCGTTTAAAGATAATGTGGGATTTCTAGTTATATCACTATTTTTGCCTTCCTTTCAGATTGTGTTTCTGGAGCAAGCAGATCAGCAGGAGCAACTGGCCAAGAAGTGGGGATTCAAAACGTCTGACATAAGAGAACTGACTCATCAGTATGTGTTTTGTTTAGATCAACCGCACCAAATACATTTCACTCTCTAAGCAAAGTAGTGTGGGTTCATGTGAATGACTTCAGGCAAGGAACATGTTAAATCCTGTCTCAAGGGCAAAACTGCCTTTCAGTTCTGTTGAACTTTGTAGTCGAAGGGCTGCCTGCATCCTGCACGAGACCTGGAGTGCAAGGTCTGCTTGCGTGTTTTTTGCGTTCCCCAGTTTGAGACTGCAGCCATGACTGAATTCTGCTGGCGGACTCGTACTGCACAGACCAAAATGCCATATTTAGTTCTGATGCCTGATCTCTTTGGCTTATACAGCAGTATCAGACAAAGATCATCCTTCAGCTGGTTGTCTTTTTTTTTTTCACATCCATTTTCTGAGCAGGGGGCTGTGCCTTGCTATCCAGCTTGAAATTCTAAACTTAATAAATGTAGATAGCCATGACATTTCAGATACAAAACTAAATTGCTTGAGCTCTGACACACTTCCTTATAAAAACTAATAAAATTAGAGGATTAAAACCTTGTAAAAAGAGATCCTCATATTTCTCATTGTATTGCACTGTGAGTTTTTTTGTTGTTGTTTATCCAATGCAATTCCTCTCCTTCCTAGTAAGTTTTGGAATGTAATCACCATGCTTTACAGTAGCATCGCTGTAAACAAGGCATGGCTTAGGGACTAGAACTGCAGGGTAGCTTTAGAATTCAGTTGTTGAAAAATCTGTATGCTTTGTTGGAACGCTAATCATACAGAATATGAGTCATGAGATGTTTTCTTCACTTGAAATAGCCTGGGGAAAATGGAAGGTTCTGGGAATGTGGATCAGACTGAGAAAGATCTTTCAGCATTTCTAGCATACAGGGAAACACAAAGAAGGGAAATTATGAAGAGTTGAAATCACTGATCATTCAGTAGCCAGGGAGAAGGAGGGAAGGCTGGGAAAAATTTTATCCTCTATGGAGTTCCAGCACAAAACAAAATAATTATAGCCATGATATTGCTATACTGATCCCTGTTATCGTGTGAGTATTCATGGCAACAAACTTTATACACTTTCATTGCAAAGATGCCTTTCCTGTCAAGATACTGAAGACTGATTTTTTTTCAGATACATCTGCATCTGTGTTTGTAGATACACTGTCTGTTCTTCAACTGAACCTTGACAATTCTTGACTGAGCACATATATAGGTTCATAGATACAGGTACATATAGTGGAGGAAAACTGGGACGCATGCAGTTAACATTTTAATAAATGAGTCTTTATAAATACATCCATATTGGGAAGCAAGACTGAATCTTTTTCAAGTGGAGTAATGTTAGCTATCGTAAAGCCAGTTAGCCTTTACTTCTTAGTATTCAGTCTGGGTAAATATTAAACACAAATGGATTTTGTCATGCTCTTACGTTAATATCTAACCCCAGATTGCTTCCCTGTCAGGTAGCTGACTGTTATTCTGTATAAAAGTTAGTCAGCTACTTCGTACAGAAAAAGGAGCTTGAGTAAGGCTGTAGCAGGAGTGGATATGCTGATGCTGAAAGAATAAGGTTAATTTCTACTTGTGTCTTGCTTCTGTGGCTTTTGATTAAACATCCTGCCTAAAGCAGAACTACTTACCTTGAAAAAAACTGTGAACCTTTTTTACTACTAGAGTTTTCTTTTCTATCCACAGCGAATTCCTCATGCCGGGATTGGTTGATACCCACATTCATGCCCCTCAGTACTTATTTGCTGGTACAAGAGTAGATCTACCTCTTTTGCAGTGGTTGACTACTTACACATTCCCAACAGAGGCAAAATACAAAGACAGTGATTTTGCAGAAGAAGTGTACACCAGAGTTGTTGTAAGTATTGCAAACTGTTGTACGTATTGACCACATTTGTATTTTAAAATACACATAAGTCAGAAGGTCAGCAGAGATAGGATAGCACTTTTTAATGTCATGAAAGTGAGATAAAACTGACAACACACACACTGTTCTAATTGCCAGCCAAGATTGTTTCCTACTACTTCCAGTCTTGTTCTGACAGTTCCTTTAGTCACACAATGGATTAACAAACATCTTTTCTCATATCTGAGTATAGTGACCTATACTGATGAGTACTTTCAGTGTACTTTCAGAAATAGTCAGACAAAGTAAGAGCAAACAAACAAAAAATTCAGAGATTATTTTTTTTATACATAAATCCTCTGTTTTATGAATATATCTTGTGCAAACTCTTGGTGAAGGAGGAGACAATTTTCACTGCCAGCAATACCGGGGTGTTTTGGAGCAACTGAGGAAGTTCTACAGCTTAAATCACTGCAGCAGGAATACCTTTCACTGCTGATGAAGTCTGTTGATGGTACTGTGGCACATAGAAATAAGCTGTGTTTGAGCTGTGCTGGTTCTGAGTAGTAAAGAAGCTTTCAGATCAAATTCCACTCACTGAACAATAAGCGGAGATGTAGTATCACAGAGTACTGATTCTCTGATATAACTGGAAAGTGTCCTTTAATATGTAGACTGAAATATCTTCACAAGAATTAAATGACTTCACTGGTATAAGCTGCCTTGCCTTTGTCTAATTCTATGAAACCGTGTTGTCAAAATAATAACAGAGTGAATCTGAAATACACAAATCTTTAAAAAATGGCTTTGTGTCGTCTTACCCTAATAAAAGCAGCTAAGAGAAGCTTGATCATAAAATCTAGAAGCAAGCACAGATGCCTTCAGCTACATAAAACGTAGAGGTGATCTTGCCTTCTAGCTATGTACATCAGCATAGTGTTACAGTCTGCATCAGTTCAGATGGAGTGATGTCAGCACAGATCAAGTGCTCACTGTGCAGCATATTTAGTAACCTTTTTTTTTTTCCACCTGGAAAAGAATTGCCAGTGAGTGCTCAAAGTTAGCTGAAGAGGCATTAGCACAATGGCTAGACTTGTCTTTTTTATATCAAGTAGGTAGGGCAGTGTCAGAAAAGTGTTTTTGTGCCCAAATTCTGCAGAATACTTGCAGGTCTGCAGAGCGTCATGGCCAAGTGTGTCAGAAAGATATCCAGCTATATATAGAGTTAATGTTCTCAGAATTTGGTGTTCCTTTGTTGCCGAAATAATCTCAGTTATGGAACCAATAGTTTCCTGTCCAATAGTTTCCTGTATAAAAGGGCTCAAGGTATAAAGGTACTCTGAGAGCCATCTTCTCAGAGATTCTCTGCAGTCTTAATCAAGTTGGAAGACAGAATGAATACTACTTCGCACGTAACTTTGGCATAATTGCCATGGGTTAGTAAAACGCCCTCTGAGTCTTCAGCTGTGGTCCTGGAAAAGACATATGAATGAGTGAAGTTCTATTATAAATCAGTGGCACGGCATTATTTTGAGTTTTTCATGCAGAGCTCAAAGTGGCAGGAGGAGGGCAGAATGCAGTGAAGGTAGAAAAGCATGAAGGTCAAAGACAGGGGAAAATAGGAAGAGAGGCTAAAAATTGTTGGTCTGTTTAGCTTATAAAGGCAGCAAACAAAGAATAAGATAAAAGTACATAAAAAGAAACTGGCCTAAATAAGATGTACTAGAAGTTACACTGCCTGAGTGCTGCATTTAAAAATGTGATTTTTTTTACAATTTGTAATGCTGTGGAACTTCCTCATGAATTGAGACCAAAAGTTAACAAGAGTTAAGGGTGACTAAACTAATGAATACGTTTGAAAATTATCCCAGCTTGTTATAATGTAAAGATTGTGATATTTTTCTAACGGACTCTAATCATGCTTTGGGGATTAGAGTAATATTCAATTACTAGAAATAGCCTAAATCTGCAGGAATCAGATATGAGTCTTTGTACCTTTGAGGTTGTAATTAAAACATACTGAAAATTAAAAAAAAAAAAAAAAAAAAAAAAAAAACAAAACAATATTCTGTTTATAATGATCACTATACTCTGAAAAGCACACAAACTAAGTGAAGTTTGGTGGATTATAGCTGGAACATCCTCTGATGCCTCAAATTTGGGAAAAGCCAATTCTTCCTGCTGATATTTTCAGGAAAAAAAAAAAAAGAAAGTTTTAGTCTTTACTTGACAATCATTTTAGAAATCCACAAACACAGAACTTTGGATTTCAAAAGCTGAGAAAGTAACTAATTAACTGCAGCCAATCTTAAAATATGCATTACATTGGGTGTCCCACCTTTTATCCTGTAAAGAAAGAATTCTCAAATTACATTCTAGCCAGAATCCGATTTAATCCTTTACTATGGATAGGAAGTCAATACACCATGCATTAGTCCCCAAATCAAAAAAAGTTATAAATGACTTAACGTAACTTTAAATGAGTCTTCATCTGCTGTTATGTCTTCCAAAAGTAATATGAGCAGGAATATCCTCTACTTTCAAATCGTGTGATTACATAAATAATTAAATTCCTCTCTGAGCAGTTCTCAGCTTACTTTTACCCTGGAGTTTGTTACTTTGGGTTCAGGGATAATGAGGGTTTTGTGTAATTGACTATTTTTTCAAGCCACACAAAGTGCCAAAATAAAAACTACTACTTTCTTCCAAGACTCTTGCTTTGCTAACATTAGAAAATTTTTCCTTCACTTTAAGAAATAGAGAGCCTTTCCAAATGAGAAAATAGCATAGATAACTGGCTGTTTGTGTTACTCCATACAGTTCAAACTAGACATAAATCAGAATTCAGTTTTCAGTTTGAATGAAGAAAGACTGGTTTCTATGGGCTTAGCAATTGTTGAAGACCTACATCACTTTGGAAGAGGAGTTTTTGTATTTCTTAACTCAGACTCTAAAAAGTGATTATGGAATTAAAAAGCTATATTTTACCTTCCCTTTTTTACTTGACTGTAATTCTTGCAGGATTTCACAATAACCAAATGTTCTTGCAGTTTGCAATCAGACTGGCAGTTCTGCATTTTGACAGCTAGACTATTTTTTTCCAAATTGTTGAAACTGATTTCTTTTTATAGAGACGAACTCTGAAGAATGGCACCACTACAGCTTGCTACTTTGCAACAATTTACACAGATACTTCTCTTCTTCTGGCTGACATCATAGGTAAGACTGCAGGAGTGAGTTTGGAAGGATGTGCTGACTGCTAAAGGAAACAGAACTTGGCAGTTTCAAATTAGCAAGGGATGTGACCTTCAACAAAATTGATTTTTTTTCATTTTTTTTCTGTCATCCTATGTCTCCAAATCCAGCCCAGTTACCTTTCACTTAACTATCTCTCTCCTACTGTTTGCTCCTTCTCTCTCTGCTTTTCATTCTGTTCTTCATTCCTAAATCAGCTGCTGACTGAGCATGAGTAACGTATGCTGGAGTTTTTCTTCAGCTGCAGTCCTCTGCTGTTTCCAGCCTTTTTGCTGGTTGAGGATTAAAGGGCTGAATGACAACAGGTGCAGTCAGTGCTTCAATTTCCCGATACGCGGAAGTTTCATTTAGAAATCAGCATAAAAAATTCCTACACACCCTTCATCTCTTCCCTCTTTCTGTTCACAGTCACAGATGGCTGCTGTTTCTGTGGAAGTTTTATGTTTGTTGCAGGATTTCTCGAAGGACATCTCCTGTAAGAAAGTGATTTAATCAGAATCTCACCAAATATTTCCCAGTCTTCCTGATTTTGTAGGAAACCTAGGAATTTGAAGCCAATGCATTCTACGACTCAGACTTAAAAGATAGGCAAAAGAAATCCAATTTAGAAATGTGTTTACGAGCTTATGCATTTTGGTTGTGTTACACCTGACTTCTCAATCCTGGTATTGATGAATCCCAATAAAGAGGCTAGAAGTAGCTCCAGCTGCAAGTGGGAGGCATGTTAGGACCCTCATTTCTTTTTATTATGGAGAGAAGATTTGTTGAGCTCTTTGTGGCTTTTTCAGCTCAAAGTGCTCATCTGCTGGAGCAGATGATCCATGAGTACCTTGATGCATGAGTTTCTCATCCTCTGCTTTGCAGCAGTCATCTTCTCTCACTGCCGTGAGGAATTCTGGTTGTGGTCCTCAATTATAACTCAAAGTTGGATATTAACATGAAAAGGGAGAACTCCTACTTATCTCATTTTGGGTTTAAAGTTTACAAGTATAGCCCCACCTTAAAGATAAGAAAACACAATGGATTCTCTTCATTTAAAGTGAAGCTCTCAGGGGTGAAATTTACTATTTTGATTTCAATGTGGACTTTGGTAGCAGTTTTTATAGAGAAGCAGTAGTTTTGAGTTTTATTTTCTTATGCATCTCAACAGATAAATTTGGGCAAAGAGCATTTGTTGGCAAGGTCTGTATGGATATAAATGATGCTGTGCCACATTACAAAGAGACTACAGCTGATTCTGTCCAAGAGATGGAAAGGTAAGATGATTAAATGGATGGCAAAGCCTTTGGAAATAAGACTTCTTAATACATCTGAGAAGTGAGCATGGAGCTGATCAGGGATTTACAGATGTAGGAACTGTTACTAGGAACTGATCTTCCTGCAGTATCGTTTTCCACAGTTCTGGTGATTCAATACTTACACAGATGCTGCACTGCGCATGCAGTTTCTCTGTGACTCTTCCAAAGGGAGAAGCTGCAGCAGCATGTTTTGGAAAGGACATATCTATGTTGTGGCTTGCCTTCTGCATCCTCTTCACATCTCTGTGGGGAGAAGTTATGTGACCTGACAGGAGTGCTGGGTTAGGGAATTGGTTCCTTTGCCTCCATTAACTTCTGATATATCTACTTCTTCCATTTAGAATAAAGTTTGATTCCTAAAGTGGTAGGAATCGGCTTTTGTATTCCAAATTTTAGATATTCCAAGTTCTGCTTTTCTTACAGTGTGACGCCATTGAAACCACCCTAACTTGCAGCTGAGTGAATGCAGGAGAATCAAATTGAAACAGTATGCATGGTGGATTTACTGTAGCTCAGAGGGGAATCCGGGACTGAAGCATGGGTGCCTGCTGACTCAGCCTTCCTCTGTGTTCTGTGTCCACTTTGTGAAAATGCTTAAATGTCTTTGCTGGACCTAGACTCACAACACTGAAATATGAGTTTGCTCGTGCTACTATTTATGCAACCATGTTTCAAAGACCATGCTGTAGGAGAAATTACCAAACATTATTTTAAATCTCTTACAGTGCTTCAGTAAAACTGCTAGCTTGTTTTTGCAAATCATGCTAGAATAGTGTTATTAAAAGTTAAAAACAGTAATAGGTTTCCAATGGTGTTTGTATTTGAAGACATTTCAAAATTTGTAATATTAGTCATGTTTGCTTTTGTTTCCTAAATCCCTCTTTTTTTTTTTGTAATACTGTCAGTACTGATGAATGGGCCTGAAAGTGGCAGAACTAGTTGTGCCATTTTTAAAGATTCAGAATGAGCTTTAAAAGGCTCTCATTTAAGTACATGTCTCATGTCTCCGCTCCATTCTTGCGTGGTTTTGTTAATAACTGATGTCCTTCAGCGTTGGGTGAGAGTGTGCCATAGGTACTGCACAGAGATACTCTGAAGAATGTCTGCCCGTTGGCATATGTCAGTACTTACCTAATCAGGCCTGAACCTAACCAATACAAGTTTAGAAGGAGGAGAAAGCTCTTTCCTGAAGAGGGAGAGTTTTTGTTTCTTAAACAAAAACAAACTAAGAAATGTGATCTCTTACATTGTCAGAAAACTTTCAATTCTTTGCAGTTAACCTGTGGAAATATTTGTGTTTTATGCATGGAGGAAATGTGCAATTCCAAGTGTTTCATTTCAATCTTCCCTTCTGCTTTGAAGAGTTTGAATAAAAAGTTGATGAAATGAAAGCTAGAATACTGCATGTGCCACTGGTAATGGTCTACTTTGAGGAGGAAGACTCATGTCCATACCTGTTTTACAGTAGATGTTTGAACCTGAGCTTATTTCTTTATAGAGAAGTATGTATACCAACAAAGTATAAATTACTTATGGCTAGGATTTTCATTTTCAAAATAATGCTGCTGACATTTAATCAATGTGAAAAAGAATGAAAATAACCATCACGAGGTGTTGGATGATGCTTGTATTCCAGTTTCTGATACAGGGAATATTTAGTTAACATATCAGGTGAATCAATAAGAAGAAAGACAGACAAACATCCATTCACATGGTGAAGTCCAGCAATGGTGTGGAAGTTCCTTTGCTCATTACAGAAACTGAGCATAGATCTCTCATTTCCAGTTGGTGATACGGCACCAGTATCAGTGTTGTGAATCTAGCTCCTACATCATTTTCTTTTCTACCTGAAGAGAAATGTGATCTAACATTTGTTGTGACTAACTTGATGGGGTTTTGGGACTAAAATCTGTGATGTAAAAATTTAGAGACCCTGTCCAGTTTGGAGATGTTTTTCTCTTCAAAACCAGAGAAGATTTCATTTGCCCCATCTTGCTCCATGGGCAGCCTTAACTATCCATATTGGCAGTTTGTAGCTTTCTGTAGGTGTCCCCAAAGTAGCTTCTTTTACGTAATGAAATAAATCTACAGTGTATTTTCTTTGATGTACAAGCATTTCCAGAAAATCAAGGGTCCTGTAAGTGAATGAGGATATTTACAATTATTGTAAGCAACATATGAAATATGTCAGCGTCTATTAAAAATAGTATTTAAAATCAGACCGTATTTAATTCTGGGATAGATAAGATTTTTTTTTCTTAAATTTGCAGCAGCACTGTCCAGATATGTTTTCAATGCATGTATTGTAATGTATTTTGTTTCCACTGAGAACTCAAAGTAATTACTACTAGTCTAATATTATTGTGAATGAAGATTTTGCATATTCAGGATCAAATTCCCAATAGAATAATGTCTTGTGACTGTCCTGACTTGGTTGTGCTGCGCCTTTGTATGTCATCTGAGATTCTGGTCCAAATGTTAATCTATGTGTGAAGTGTTCTAAAGAACATTTAAGTAAATATTTTCTCTATTTTTTATAAATTATTATACAGATTACAGCTGATATTTATAGGTGTTTTTTTTTTCCCAATCCTTTTGCAGGTTTGTTAGAGAACTACTGGAAAGACAAGTAAGTAGAGTTCTCCTTCCTATTGATTTCTGTATTCAGAAAATGTTGTGTGCAAACAGGAAGTAGTTAATCTGTTGACAAATTCTACTGACTTCATGACAATAAATGTGCAGCCCTTTCTGTGTAGCAGGGAAGTCATTGTTCTGCAAAGTGTTCTGCTAGTTGCGATGCTATGACATTGACTTATAGCAAGCACAAATTCAGTTTTGTATGGTCAGAGCACAAAAAAGTAATGTTCTGTGAATGTTCTTTATTCACTTTAAAGTGTTAAGCATCTGGCAGAGAACAGTTTCCTGTAAAGAAGGGTGAAAGTCAGTCCCCAGGTCTCTGGCACATAAGTAGATGAGTAATAGAAGTTTTCGGTAACAGAAAGCAATGTCTTTTCAGCACGGTTACTAATCCATTATCAAAGTAGTATTTTGTGTCACCACGTCTTCTACCGCGTGGATAGAAGATAGACGCAGGCTGATACTCCAGTATTACAAGCAGGAATACTACTTTTTTATCAGTCTTTTGTTTTTGATGGTTTAATTTGTTGTCATTTATATCTACACCATTATATCTACCTACATCTATTTGAGGATAGATGTCTCAGGCTTAATGCCTAGATCATTTGTATTGATGAGTAAACTGATGTTCAGATGTCTTGAGCTTCTTATGTCTGAGAGATGTTATAAGAAACTTCAAGCCAAGTTACCACATGCTTTCCTCTGCTGGTTCCACATGCACAAGAAAGGGAGGTACTGACAGTTTCTTAAGGTAGAATTATAAAACTATTGTCTAACTCTTCATGAAAATTTTAATCCAGGAGAGCAAAGTAGTCCAGGTACCCACTGTTTCCTATTGTACAGTGTATCTTGTGGTGCTACTGATCATCCTATCTGTTAAGTATAGGGACTTTAGGGGCAGTTTGGTCCACTGCAAGGTGAGAGGAGAGGACCAAGCAAGAAAAGGCTTTGGCTTTACATAACTGCAGTTTTGCTTTTCTACCTCTTTGGTGCTCACAAATGAAGGACTCAAAACCAGGTCTGGTTATTCGTCTGGCTCATTTCTCATAATGAATACTGAACTGTGGAATGTGAGCAAATATGAAGAAACATCCAGTGATTCTGCTGAAGTCTGGTAAAATCACATGAGGAGAGAATTCTAATGAGAAGAACTTCAGTTCATTAAAACTGTTTTCAGAGAAACCTTGATTCTCTTCCTGTGCTGAAGTTTCTGATAAAAATAAGAAAATGACTATAGTTTTATTTGTATTGGCAAGGATAAAGTAAGGAATGAGCAGCAGAGATTGTCTTAATTATAGTTGCTGATACGTATGTAGGATCACAATCATGTCTTTTTAATATTTTCAGTATCCAAGGGTACTGCCCATAATAACCCCCCGCTTTGGCCCTTCCTGCACAGAAGATTTGCTGCATGCGCTTGGTGACTTCGCACAAACTCATGATCTCCATGTGCAGGTAAGTCATGAACTCTGCTTACAGTATAAATGTTCTGGGTAGAAACTAAAAAGACCAGTCAGTTTAAAAGTCCACAAGACAATTGAATTACATCCTTAACTTGAACTCCATCTTTTAAATTCTTCTTAAATTAAAATTGTAATGATACTGTACAAGAGCATTATGACCTTCACAACAAGTTAGAATGCTCATAGCTTGACGGATGCACAATTCCTCCATCCCTGGATGAATATCAACTGGCAGACTGACACAAAGTATTGTGAATTAGAGCAACCCTTCTGTTGGTAAAGGTCATTGACTCTTGCCCAAGGTTGCAGTGTCTGCTTCTCTGCCATCTACTCTTTCTGTACAGGGCAGATGTGTAGAAGAGAATTGCTGATCCTTCTGTCTCAATTACTCATCTTTTTTACTTTAAGTTATTAATGTTCTAGGATATCCTGTGTTAGCCTGATCCCAAAATCCACTCTGTGGTACACTGCTATTCTTTTTTTACTTCACAGTCATAACTATCGTTTTATTTACTACTTAAACATCTGCCAAACACCTGATGGTTTGCTACTGGGATGGATTACCCAGGCATATGTTCTCAAATGGGTTTTAAAGGAACAAATGGAACTTGGATCTCTTCAATGAAAATAAAAGCCTAAGGGCTATATCTAACAATAGGCTTTACAAAGATTATTTTCTATCATAATGTGCTTAGCAGCAGCAGGTTTCTCAGAAATTTGAAATGTCAGGCTTAATGCTATTTAAAGAACTCACTGTTACTTATTTTCTTATTACAGAGTCACATAAGTGAGACTGAAGAAGAACTCAAAGTTGTGGAGAACATGTTTCCTGCCTATCAGAGTTACACTGATTTGTATGATAAAAACAAGCTGCTTACCAGCAAGGTAGCTGCATATAAGCTTCCACAACATAGATTAGACTTATCCATGTAGAATATATATGCAGGTTAATTGTGGTTACCTGGAAAGTTTGTATTGTTGTGTCAAGATCAGTGGCATCTGGGAGAAAGTAAACTGTTTCTGTTTCCCAGGTTGCACAAGTGTTAATGAAGGTACTGAAACTTTAGGCAAACACACACTTTATCTTAAATTAGGGGAGAGAAGCATCGATGTATATTTATGCGAATTTCATGACTGTGAAGAGGAAAGGGACCTGGGGTTGATGCTCAGCTGAACATGAGCCGACATGCACCCAGGTGGCCAAGAGGACCAATGGCATCCTGGTCTGCATTAGAAATAGTGTGGCCAGCAGAAGCAGGGAGGTGATCATCCCCCTGTACTCAGCACTGGTGAGGCCACACCTCAAGTACTGAGTTCAGTTTTGGACCCCTCACTTCAAGAAAGACATTGAGGCCTTGGAACTTGTCCAGAGAAGGGCAACGAAACTGGTGAGGGGTCTGGAGCACAGATCTTATGAGGAGCGGTTGAGGGAGCTGAGATTGTTTAGTCTGGAGAAGAGGAGGCTCAGGGGAGACCTCATTGCACTCTACAACTTCCTGAAGGAAGGCTGTGATGAGGACTGGTTTGGCCTCTTCTCCCAGGCAAGAAACAGGACCCAAGGAACTGGCCACAAGTTGTACCAGAGGAGGTTTAGGTTAGACATGAGGAAAAACTCTTTCTCTCAGAGAGTGGTCAGACACTGGAATGGCTGCCCAGGGAGGTGGTGGAGTCGCCGTCCCTGGCAGTGTTCAAGAGGTATCTGGATGAGGAGCTATGAGATACGGTTTAGTAGCTTGTGGTAGCAGTGGTGGTGGGAAGATGGTTGGACTAGATGATCTTGTAGGTCCTTTCCAACCTTGTGACTCTACGATTCTGTGTTCCCTGTGCCTGTTTTCAAGGAACGTAAGAGGACTGACAGCAGTAGGATTGGAAGGAGACTAGGTACTACTGGCAATATAGGATTAGTAATTCTTTGGCAGTACTCCATTTTCCTCATATTTAAAATTTAAAATTTTCAAAGGCATGAAGGAAAGCTGGAAACTTGATAGGGATTAATTATTGAACTTCCCTTTTCTGTCTTTGAAAATTTCTACAAGTAAATTTGGTATTTACTGTCTTTTTTACCTGAGAAATCAGTACAAGCTACTTAAATTCTAAACCAGTATTAATTTTGTTCTGTTACATCACACTGTCCATGGTTTTTTTTTTTTTTTTTTTGCATCAGTGTGGTAGAGCCAAATACTTGTGCCAGAAAAAAGCGAGTCTCAATTCTGTCAAATGTTTATATTTACAGCACTGCCAGTGGTTACTGAAATTTGGGGTTACCAGTGCCTTTTGATGCTAGGCTCCTTGTTCTTTGAGGAAGCATCCTATTAAATACGAGCATAAAAAACAGCACTCACCTCTTCCCAGATATAAGGACTAAGATAGCAAATTTTTTTGTTTGTTTTTAATTTTTCAGGGCTGTGGCTCAAATATTTCGTAGAATTGTAGCATCATTTAGGTTAAAAAAAAACATCAGGGTCATTAAGTCCAGCCGTCAACCTGATCTACCAATTCCCATCACTAAAGCGTAGTGTCCACATGTCTCTTAAATACTCTAGGGATGGGGCCTTCACAACTTCCTTGGGCATCTTGTTCATGTTCTTGACCATGCCCTCTGTGAAGAAATTCTTCCCAGTGTTCAATCAAAACCTCCCCTGGTACAATGTGTGGCTGTTTCCTCACATCCTGTCATTTGTTACCAGAGGAAAGAGACCAGCACCTTCTCTGCAGCCTCCTTTCAGATAGTCACAGAGGATGATGATGTCTCCCTCACCCTCCTTTTTTCCAGACTATATATATAAGTGATCTCAATTAAAACAAAATGACAGCATTTTGACATAGCTACCAAATCTTTATCCTTAACTTAAGATGTGACTATTCTCCCTGCTAGCTGATTTTCACTTGAGCTTAATGAGTAAAGAAGGCAAAGATACAGCGCCATTAGGAGATGCTCAGTGAAAACAGTCCCAGTGCACTTGTCATTTGTATCATTACACTGAAAGGCCCAACAGCTCTTGCCATATCATATTCTTTTCTTTGAGTGGGTATTTGGCATTTGAGGTAATCTGAAGTAGGCTGATCTAATAATTGTTTTATGTCCTGTTAAATGATACTATCTCATATTTCTCTGTTCTGCGTATACAAAATATACTTATTTCTAAAATCAGAAGTGTAGGGCAAGAAAACAAACATAGACACGTAGCAAATGAGCTAGTTTGATTAAAAGAATATTTCAGATGTCTACTTCATTCAAAACTTTAGAGACAATGGGACATGCATTAAGAGTTCAACATATACAGTCTTCCACTTCTATCGTTGCAATTCTAGTTCCAATACTTCATCTCTGTGGTAGCTATGAATACAAATAATAAAGTTGCAACAGTGTTATGCTGAGTACGGTGTTCTTGTTTTCGTTTCATGCAGCTGTGTGATAATCACAGCTACCACAAAACACCGTAGCAGCTTATCTTTTTGTATAAGTAAATGAATAAAAGCTGAGGAAGCGATGTGTCAAGCCTACTGATGCTAGTGAAAGCTCTTCCCCTCTTGATTTCAGGAGCTTCATACAAAATGTGCATTTATTTCCCTTGCTGGTAACAGATGGCTTATTGGCTACTGAAAGCAGTGCAACAAAAACTTGTGGGCACTGAAGTAAATGCTTCTTTGAGTAAAATTGGTGATTCTCTTTCTCTTTAGACAGTGATGGCTCATGCCTGTCATCTTTCTGAAGAAGAGCTGGGACTTTTTAATCTTCGTGGAGCTGCAGTTGCACATTGCCCCAGTTCTAACTTTTCGTAAGTTAATCAAAGAAGATAATGGTGTACATTTGGACAGAGCTGTTTTTCACATAGTTCCCTCTATCCAACAGTAAGAAGTTTACTCTGGACTGGCTTGCGATCTTTGAGCATAATCACATACATATGAATATTTCTTGTTTAAAACTTTTTATTAATGGTAGATTCAGGCCAGCTCCCCTCTCCCCAAAAATATTTACATATTTTTGCAAAATGGGAAGGTGCTGCATAGTCTTAGTTATTTTAGCAGAAATGAGATACTGGATAGTATATGACTGGGGAACTGTACTAATTGTTAAAATGTCAGTTTGCTTTTAATATAATCAGTATTATCTTGTTTGCCATGACTTACTGGCACTTGTGAAGTGACCTCCCACCTTCTTAGAGTATATTTTACACCATATTTGGACTTTCCACACGGTTGTGCTGAGAGTTCATTTTCAGCAGATAACACTAAAACTATTTTATTAGGAACCTAAACCTTTCTGTTAGGGAAATTTGCTTTTACTTTTAATGGTTAAAATCTGTCATCCAGATTTATGAATGAAAAAATCTAGAAGACTTGATCTGTCACGTGTGCTCTGAGAACCCTTTTCATGAAATTGCCCTAAGTCTTACCCCTTACTAAATTGCAGAAACCAACCTTCCACTGTATATATCTCACAGAAAACATTTCTTGTTCCACTCCAGGTTGCACAGTGGCATCTTAAATGTAAAAAATGTTTTGAAGCACAATGTGAAGGTTGGCCTTGGCACAGGTTGGTAGCTTTAAGAAGAATCTCTTGTAGAAATCATTGTAAGACACAAAAAAGGAATCAAAGAATCACAGGTTGGCTCGGGTTGGAAGGGACCTCAAGGATCGTGAATCTCCAACTGCCCTGCCATATGCAGGGCCACCAACCTCCACATTTAATGCTAGACCAGGCTGCCCAGGGCCCCATCCAACCTGGCATTGAACACCTTCAGGGATGGGGCATCCACAACCTCTCTGGGCAGCCTGTTCCAGCACCTCACCATTCACATAGTAAAGAACTTCCCCCTGGCATCCAACCTGAACTTCCGTCAACTTAAAACGATTTCCCCTTGTCCTGCTGAAACATAAAAAAACATAAAAACATACCCTCCTACTTATATTGAAAGTCAGCATGCCTCCAACTTGTGGACCTACTTTTTATCACTATCTGGAGGTGGTTAAAAAAAAAAAAAGAGAGAGAGAGTAGTTTTGTTCCTTTCAAAAGAGTAAGCAATGCCCGAATAACAGCTTTTCTGATTTTGATTTCTGTTCTGCATCATGCTTTATTTACCTGACCTTGTATATAAGAGCACGTTTTAGGAATCACACAATTAAAGACAATGCATAGCATTACACTTTTTGCATTTAACACCTCTTACACTTTGTAACACTTAAGCAAAGCTCATAATAATTTACCAAAGTTATTCCCGCAGTTTGTTTCTAAGTTTCTGATCCCTTCTAGATGTTGCTGGTGGATATTCAGCTTCTATGCTTGATGCTATCAGAAAAACGGTGATAGCATCTAACGCCCTTAAAATTAATAAAGTGAGTGACGCAGAACTAACTCTTAAAGAAGCTTTTCGACTAGCAACTCTAGGAGGAAGCCAAGGTAAGAATAAATTTCTTTATTAATATACATAGAAAACCACCCCTGTTTTTGATACGATGTCTCTGTATATAAAAGATGGCCGAAACTCACAGATTTCCTAATTCCAGAGTGAAGTTCAAAACTTTATTTGCTTTGATGTATTCGTATGTCTCATAACAATACCACAGTTGTGACAGTAATGTGTTTCTGTAAATATTAACAGTTTAATAAAAGCATCTTAATGATTTTCAAGGGCAGTATATTTTCTTTGAAAGATCCTTAGCCCTTAATCATTGGTGCTCATAACTTTGCCATGCCAATTAGAAAGACTCACGGATGGCTTCCACTCCTATTTACTCTCATGCTTTTTTTGTCTAGGTTCTTCGGATTACAAGAAAAATTGTTTTATGTATTGGTTTTGAACTGTTCTATCACTTGCAAGGGTAGAATATAAATTATTCATACAACCTTCCAGTAGCATGGATAAGTACAATTTGGGGAAATTTAAATGAGATTTTTTTCTTGCCATAACTTGATTACTGAAAGTCTAAATGCTTGTCACCCTCTTGTGTTTATTCTAAAAATTGCATTCTGCTCACAAACATAAAGAGATACATCACTGTAGTGGAAACTACAGAATATTTTACCATTTTGAGGAGTTTAAACATTTGTAATGTATTGTGAAGCTCTTGCATGCACTACTTAAAACTGAATTTCCTCTGTCAGACAGGAGCTATCTGAAAACAAGTGGGCAAATTCTGTGCAGATATTACCCTTTTTGATAACTTGGTTCAACTCCTGAATACTGGAAAAGCAGATTGAATATGCAGATGATTTAACATCTTCAGACTATCCTGAATTATTTCCAATAAGCCTCAAATGTCTATATTTAGGTATTCTGTACTCACTTTCACTTTGGGTTTTCAGTGCTTGTGCAACCAAGAAGCAGAGGGTGCAGCAATGCTTGGATTAACAAAGCTGGATAACAGACTGTAAAACAAGCCAGACAGCTGGGCATGGGACCAGCATATCTGGATGCAACATTTCTCTCACCATATTGTTCTTGGTTACTAATTACTCCTGGTCATCCTCGCAACACAGCTTGTTTTTATCTACTATTGTAACATAGTCTGTACAACCTGCCAAAGATACTTAAGCTGTTTTACAAACAAAAGCAATTAGATCTTAGGCTTCTTTAGCAAGGTGGATGTTATTATGTACATCATTATTTCTCTTTCTTCCTCTCACTGCCTCTTTTAGAACCTCGGTATTTTTGCATTGTTAGTAATTATTATTCCGCTTTTAACAGCTAGTGGTCTATACATAGGATCTGCAATGACACAGAATTAGAGGAGAATATTCAAAAAACAAAAATTAAAAGAAAGGTTTCAATTGTTTCCCAGATTTCTTTTACAGATACTTTTCACAAGTTCACCAAAATACATGTGATTTTAAGGAAAAGTTGCTTAAAAATACTGCTGACCTACTTATTTACTTACTTCCATGTTTTTCCATGCATTCGCCTAAACTCTTATATTCTGTTTTTAATCACAAACACCCGAGATAAGTTCTTAGATGCTTCCATGTAACAGAAAGAGACTTGCACTGAGGATCTGTGTATAAGCTTGCTTTCCCTCTCAGCTCTAGGACTGGATGATGTGATTGGGAACTTCGAGGTTGGCAAAGAATTTGATGCACTGCTGATCAACACTAAGGCCTCAGACAGCCCTTTTGACTTGTTCTCTGCTGATACTTTCGAGGTAATCTGATCACGATTAATGATCCAGAAAATAACTAGAAATAATGTGGCAAAGGTCTATGATACAGCCAGTACGAAAGTCTCTTTGTGGCTGTTCCAGTAACAAGAATCGTGTGAACTGCCCTGCTGCTGTCTGTAGCTCAGCCCAAGAGGTGCAGAGGTGTTTTTAGGAGGTTACTGTCCTCAGTGGCAGGCGTAGGTATGTCAGTGTGAGAGGAAATGCATGTAGCATCTTAATGCACAGATTATTAGAGCTGGCTGATCATTAGAGCTCACTATTTACAGTGCCAAAGCGCTGCCATCAAGGAAAAGCAACTTAGTTAACATTTTGAATTCACACTCAAGAATGGCAATCTGTTCCCAGATAAAGGCTGAATTACCATGGCTTCACTAGGACTGTATACTTAAGGAAGAGCTAAAGATAGCTAATTTGAATTCAAAGCACAGCTTTTATGCAACATATGAGAACCTTTTGTGTTATACAGTGGGGACACTTTCTCAAACAAATTTTTGTATGATTAAAAAAATTCAGTGAACAGCAGAAACTTGAATTTACTGATGAGGCCAGAAGGCTATCACTGTCTCTGTTTACTTAGAAACATATACATAACTGGATGAAGTAATTTTTTTCTTACTTTACTTCAGCTACATGAATTCAGATTAAATTCTGTTATTTGAAATCTTGTTCCTAGTTCAAATAGTTCCAGAATGAGTGTTTTTTAATATCAGCCTAAACTTTTTTAGCTAAGTTATCAGTTCTTAGGAGTATAAAAATGCTTAGAATTTTGTCTTATTTTTCAATAAATAAATGGAGAGCTCTAAAATGTTGTTTTATTTATATTTTTGTTTATATTGTCAGACTTGTGCAATATTTTCTTCCTGACAAATACGACAGCTTCCTTAATGAAAATTATTTATGAGGAAACGCGTAGACTAAGCTTAAGTTTTAATTTCATTAGCATATTTAGGAAAACTATTGTTATCAGTTGTTTCAAGTTTCAAATAATTTTGATCTGGGACTGTAAATATGGTTTGCTGAATGTCTTTCTCCTTTTTCTCACAGGATTATCTCCAGAAGTTTCTCTATCTAGGTATGTTCAAAATACTCCTGTGTTATTGCATGTGTCTCTGATCTCTGACACAGTGTGGAGGTTGCTTTACATTCATTTATACCAGCTTAGTAAAAATTAAACAGTATAATCTTAATTCTTTCTGACGTAGTAAAGTATGCAATTTGGCATGGGCAGATACACAAGCTTACCTGCCAGACTTGTAGCCACAGTTATCTTCATCTGTGGCATGAGTTAAATTGTGATTCACAATGAAGTAGCACTGGTTTTCTTTATGCACTGCCAATCACCAGTTCAAAACAAATGACTTATGCAAGCCACTTGCTCTTGTAGTATGTGACTGGTACTGCCACTTGATACCTGTGTTAGCTGAGACAATCTGCAACAACTGTCTATGTATAAATGTGTATTTGCAGGTTTTGTGTCTGCTGAATTGCAGTAGAAAGGCCTGAATGGTAGACCTTGAATCAAAGGTTACCTCTGGATGAATCTCATAACACAGCGTTATATGCCATCCTTGTCTGATCATTAGCAAGATGTTTATGATCATTAGCAAAATATGTATCTTAGACAAAACATCTCGTTAGCAAGAGATGTAGCTTAGATAAAGCATTGTGAGGATGTGTTAACTTTCCTTGTTTAGAAGCATAGAGTCAAGGCCTAATTGTACACAAACTTCATTGATTCCTCTTTGAGTTCTGGCCAGGCTTGAGGTGGAATCCAGAGGGAGAATGAAACCAGATGTTTCTACCTAATCCTCATGTAAACTTGTTCATTCAGCTATATAAAAGCTGGACCCTCTTGTAGCGGAGTTGGAGACCTCACCTATGCATGGATGCACTGCGTAGGTGCTCCCAGTTGCTGGGAAAGGCTCTCCAAATCCTCGCTGCAACTGGGGCTCCCCAGCACCTGCAGATCTGGATGATGGTAAAGTATTAAGGCAATTGGTGATGTATCTTTCTTAATCCCTGTCGCTATCCTCGTGTAGTAATGGTTAGGTGTGTTGTCTTGTTCTTTGTTATTCTTGCTGTATCATTTCACTTATTATCTCATTGCTTTAAACTTAAGAAAAGATAGAGGCATTTTTTTAACTTGTCTGTGGCCTTTGTGCTGACCCTGCCCACCGGCAAAACATAAACAGATACAAAATACACGACATAACTGCAGCAGCTGGATGCTGTGTTTATGTCTTAAAAGAAACAATGGTAGTCCACTGATCTTTATGATATATATGGTGAAATATCGTTAGGGAAGTACACTTTCTCAGTTCTAAGAAATGAATTTAGGTAACTGAAAATTATATATTCTGAAAACTGATCCTGGGGATTGCAGCATTTTAATTAATTAATTAAATCAGTGCAGAGATTTATGTGCAAATCTCTCTTCTGACTGTTATTTCAGGTGATGACCGGAATATTTCTGAAGTGTACGTGGCTGGGAAGCAAGTGGTTCCTTTTTCAAGTTCAGTATAAATCCATTTCCCTTCTGCAAAATGTTCTGCTGATTACTCTGTATCTGATTTGGAAAATATTTGTTTAAAACAGTGCCTGATTATTTGGAATGACACCTCATTTCTGTTTTAAATCTTGCAAATTTGAAAAATTCTGTTAGACCTTTCAGGAATTATGTGACCTGTGTTCTGTCACAGTTCTAAAAGGAAACAAACTTCTAAATTTGCCTGCAAAAATGACATGTGCATTGACGAAGAAATCTGGTAAGTTTCTTACTTAAATAAACAATTGGTGTTTCTTTCAGTAATACCACAGAAAGTATTAAGAAGAGCAAGGAAGCTCTCACTGTTGTATGTTATTTTAGTTGAAAAAAATGGCCAGTAAATCATTTTTGCTAATAATGAATGTCACAGAAGAATGTAATTTCTTTTATATTATCACCAACTATGGAAAAAATAGTGGCATTTGGGTCATTTAATGATGTTTTTCATTTTTGTTTATGTGGTTAATTTTAAAATACTCATTTATTTTAAAACACAAAGTATCTATCTATACATAATGAAGAGTTCTAATTATCATTAAGCTCAGATTTGTCATTAGTAGTCAGATATAATAGAACTGGTGGAAGAAGCAAGTAAAAAATACACAAGTGGTCAAACAGCTGCGAGTGCAGAAAGACTGCACAATTCTGTGACGCTGTAAGCTGAAGTAGCATTTCCTAAATGTCACTCTGGCACCTGGAAGCAGTCAGCCCAATCTTCCACCACTTCTCTATCCACCTGACTGAATATGCTTCAGCTAAACAACCACTGAATGAAACTTGTAATAACCCAAAAGCAGTACAGAGATGCCTGGGTGGGCTTCTCTGTGGCAGAAAATGAATGGACTCTTCAGGACTAGAAAGAGTGCTTCCTCTGTTCCAGCCTCTTGTAGAACCTTATCAAATTCATTTCTTCTTGACTGTTTAGACGGTGATAACAATTCCCCTTCTCCTTTCTGTAGCAGAAGTGGGCAGTTTTAAAACAAAACCCGCCAGAAACAGGCTGTCTCTGGCTGTTCACTTGAGGTGTAATTCCTTACTGAAAAAAACTATTCAGCTCTAATGTGTTTTTTTTCTTTCAACGCTGGAACAGAAACTACAGCCCTGTACAATGCTAGGTAAAAAAACGTGCCCTTCTAACCATGGTGGTCTGTGTTCTTAAAAAGTCTATTTTCCTACTTGTTATTACAGCCTTTTTTTATTGCAAGATTAATTTGAGAATGGGGATACTTCTTGTTTCTTTATTATGGTTCTTTTTTTGTTTATTTTATTTTGTTTTGTTTGTTTGTTTTGCAGTGCAAAGCATAAAAGCTTTAATTTTAGTGTTAGTGGATACAATATTGCACTACCTGCTATACATACTTGTTGAGTATGGCCTGCTTCAAACACCTTTGATTTTGCTGAGCTTTATTTCACACCTTTATCTTGCTGTCTAATGATATAAAGGCACAGCCGTTCTCTGTGCTCCTAAAACAAGAAAGGTAACCGCATGAACATCTAAATTTCTGTCTGTATAAGGGAACGTTTGGTCTGATATCCCTAACAACTCGCTCTGATTTAAGCTTCGTCGGAGCTTACGCACTCTTCAGGTTATGACTACATGAGACAGCATAGTAGAACCATAACCTAGATTAGGCACTTAAAATACCTGGAATCTTTTTCAGTGTTTTGTGTTATTTGTTGTTTTTTGTTGTTCTTTGGTTGTTTGTTTTTGCTGTCATGGAATAGCTTTACTGCACAGCATGGTATGTTGGCTTGCATATGCCACTCTAAAGCAGCTGCACTGCTTGCTCATTTAGAGCTAGCTCAGGTAACTTCACACAGCATCACTCTGTGCCATATGTTTGCTGAGTTACACTCCTTGTTTCCATTGTGTTCAATCATGGCTAAGGCTTTTGGATTAGAGATTTAAGGATTGAGATTTCATAGTCCATCAGGGTGTCACAAAAGTTTTGTTTTTCACATGTCCCTATAACCTACATAGTAGCACACTTTCTTTGCAAATACAGCCTGCAGTTCTTTAACTCGGATTCCTGATTCAGGGAACATTTTTCCTCATGAATTTTGACATGAATTTAATTAATTGACCAAATTTTACATTCCAAAACCAAAGATCTGTGAGAGACATGTTTTAATCCTCCAGTTGCTGTCTGAAACTATTCTTAAGGAGTTGCATGGTTTGCAGCTTTGGCTTTCCTGCAGGAATGTATTCTGGGACAGAGAAAGATGATGCAGCCTTGTATACTATGTATGTTCATGCTATAGTACTTTGCTTCCAGAGCTATGAATTATATCAACACTTCTATTTTAGTGATAGTCTAAGCTGTGCCTGACTTTATTGCTATTTTGTGGTAGTATTAAGAATGTGATTCAGTGTTTGTTTTAAAGATTTGGAGAGAGGGAGGTGATGATTATTTGCAAACTAGGAGTACAGAAAAAAAGCTTTAACAGTCTCACCAAACTGCTGGTGCCCCAATTACAAAGGGACTCTCTAGAATATCTGATGGGAATAACTTTTGGATTTGAATATTGGCATGTTGTGAGAGTTTGGCTCTTGCTAAATTCCAGCACAAGGCAGGAATTCAGCTTCTTGATTATCGCTTTTCTGATGTCTGGTAGCCAGGCACTACCCAGACTTAGAGAATCGATGTTCCAGAATTGCAGCTTGGGGAGGAGCTCTGCCCAAGTAGTAGTGTCATGGGCTTCCTGCAGCTGGTATGAACGTTGCTGGTGACAAACCTGAATTTGGTTAGAGGGAGCCAGTAGAAGAACTGATACAGCCATGTAACAAACAAACTGGAAGGTAGTTTCAAAAGTAGCATTGAATGTAAAAATTCTGTAATGCCAGAAAAAAACTTCCTTTGAGGTAGACCCAGGACTTTCCATGGGAGGTAGTTTATGGAAGGAGTCTGGTTTTAGGAGATACGGAGGATGTAGTAGTCAGACTTCTCTGAAGCAATTTTGGAGAAGGATCCTGCTGTGAAGTATTTATTAGCCCCCAGTATTCTTTGACTGCATGGAGATTGTAGAGATGCTTGGTGCAGTAGGAGAATATCAGTAGGTGACAGCAGTTACTGCTGAGACTTGTAACGCTGCACCAATGCCTGCATATAGTCTGATTCCTTGTACTCCACTGCATATGTGGTCTGAAGCAAGCCAGGTCATTGGTTCAGACCCTTACAGTCTCTGTTAGAGGCTGTATTTGGTGTGTGTGACTGCACCTCCAGCATAGTTTCCACCAAGGAAGAGAAACTTCCTTGTTGTATACCAAAACCACACTGCAAGCAGAAGCAGTGTTCAATTAGTGGTGTGTAAGCATCACTACTGTCTCAAAAACAAACAAACAAACAAAAAACCTAATGGAAGACATGACTTACACTATTCCCCCTCCATACTCATATGCGTAGAAGACAAATCAAAGCAACATCTTTTCTCCTCCTTCTTTAAAAAAAAAAAAAAAAAATTAAATAAATAAAAATTAAAACTTAATAAAAATAAGGCAACCACTCACTATGGGGATAAGACTAAGTAGAAGAAAACATCAGGATAATTTTCAGTCAGCATAAATTGACATTTTGCTACTGACATAAGATGGAGCCTCTGGAAAAATGTACATACAGCTGTTTCCAGATGTCAGTCACCATTAGTTCTCTCGACAGACTGTGTATGGGATCTTTATTTTTGATGTGTCTTTGTGTTCAATGTCAGCACACCATTCAGACAGAAAAAAATAAGGGTAATTTGTGAAAAGCTTGCTTGTTGGGGCAATATGCTTAACGTGTTCTATGTTCAGATGAGCACTTAGTAATTATAAATGGAGTGTATTTGAATTATATGTTGATCTCATTGTGTCACTTCAGGTTTTGATTATTAATGAAATGCGAGTAAGTATCGCTTATGCATTATGCAGCGTTATTTGAATTATTCATGTGTGGCAAGTGGAGTTCTGCACTTTAAAATGTTGGCTTGACCTAGTGTTTATATTTAGTCTGTGTTTTTATGCAATCAGAAAGCTTTATGGGGAAAAAAGTATATTTGTTCTTTGTACTGAGCATTTTCATTATTGTAAGTGGAAATTATTTCAAAAAGAGATGTTAAAATGACCCTGCTTATAAGTCTGTACCTGATTATACACTCATGAATGGAACAACTATAATGGTTTTATAAAATCTGACATGAATAGCAATGTTATGCTTAAAAAAAATATTTACAGAGGAATAATTTTTATTCTAATTATGATTATGCAATGCTGATTAGAAAAATTAGTCAGTCTTGCTATATATCTGCAAGTCTACTGAGCAAAGACTGTAACTCTTCTCGATTATACTTTTAAGAAGAGTATGCATGCTTTGAAAAACAAAATGCCTAAATTCTTTCAGAGAATATCTCAGTTTTAATATGAAATTATATTAGCAGTAGTACTCAGAGAAATCTTTAAAATTTTTTCCAGCATTTCCATGAACAATCTGTAACAGACAATAAGTTGGGCAGCTTTTAAAAATAATACTGGATTGATATAAATAAGTAGTCTTGCATTATGTGCAGTCCTGTGCTTAGCATTGAGCAACTTATCTCTAAGGAGATTGTGCACAAGTGGAAGGAATTCAAGAAAACTCAAGGCACATGGGAAATTTGAGAAATGACTGGGAAAAAATATAACTTGAAAAGGCAGCAGAATGCAAAATAATACCAAATAGAAAAAGCTAGATCAGAGAAAGTTGTTAACAGTACATGTTAATGAAGTTTTAGGGAAATGCTAAGGAAAGAAGAAATTTTTTCAGGCACAGTTCTGTTAAATCACAGAGTTGATTTCTTCAGAAAGTCATCAAGGAACAGGAACAGATCAGATTTCCAAAGGGAGCCAGTTATTTATATGCTAAAATATTAAGAGCCCCAAATTACCATGGCTAATTGTAACGCTGTTCCTCTCTACTTCAAGATTTAAACTAAAGCTACTTGCAACAACTCCAGAAGAAACCTAATACAATATTATGTTTTATCTTCATGTTTCCTATGAAACATGAAGACATCTGGCATTCGGCACTACTAAAGTATCTGACCTTAGGGGGAGCACCAGTGGGAGCACCTCATGCAACATCCCCTGTCACACGCCTCATGGTGCAATGATGACAGGAGTTCAACAGCACAGGAATACAAGCCTCTGGTATGACTGGAGTCCCTGCAAGTAAGCTGATTCAATTATCAGGCTGTTTTGAAGTTCAGAACACACAGAGAGTGCAGCACATTTTAAATTGCACAATCAGCTTGAAGTGTCAGTTCACTACCTAACAGTGATCTCACATGTACTAGAAACTTTGTCCTAAAGTTTATTTTTGAGCCCTGTTAATATGTGTAAAACAACTCCTGCTTATTTCAACAGAGAAGCCAGCAAATGACATCTGCTGGGCTCTCTTTACAAAATAGAAAACAGCAACAAAAACAGTTCTTAGGGAACCAAAAGGGTATCAGCAACAATCTGTTGTGTAAGGTTAAAAAAACAGTTATTTTCCTCGAAAGTCTGAACAGTGCTTTTAGAGGATATTTTCCAGGAAATTTCAATAAAAAACTTTTTTTTCTTGGAAAGTGTCCTAAGCTGGAGAGGTGTGTTTCAACCCCTGTGACTTCTGCAGTGGCAGTGATCTGTGCAGAAGTGAATGCAGCAATTATGCCTGGAGTCATCCTTTCTCCCTGCTCACGACTTAGACTTGTTTATTTGGTTTGTGATTTCTCACAGACTTTATTTTGATTGGAAAATATCTATGATGAATGAGTGCAGTTGGGCTTGAAAGGCAATCTCATAGCCACCCACCTAATACTTAACTTAGAAGATCTGTCCATAAGAAAAGTATTATTTATTACACTTACGCAGTTTGTGGGCTCAGTGTTTTGGCTTAATGGCTTGAGTCAGCTGGTAACAAACACAGCCAAGACCAGAATGTAAACTGTGAGCAGCTGACATAAACAGAAATATATTTTACCTTGGTCTGCACTTGAGCCACTGAAAGCCTTGCTTAGCCACAAGCGCCTAGGCACCTTCGAATACAAAACTGGGCCTTCAGTAGAAGGGACCAATGTTTCTGTTAACTAAGCTTTTCATTTCTGTATCTGGCTGATCTCTGGCTTTGGAGCTGGGCTGTGTGTCCATTAAAAGCTTTTGCTGATGGAGGTTTTAAAAAGTGGTTACATGTTCTCCTTAGCTGTTGACGATAGCAGCAGGGAGACTGTCAACCATTGCTTCAGTATGAGCCTTCTTTCCTCAGAGGAGTGATGACATCTTAGCGGAGTAAGCTTTTCTGATTCTGGTCCTTGATTTTGTCAGCTTGTCACCTGTTTGTAGGTTCTGGTTGGTTCTTTTCTGAAAAATGCCTACCTGGAGTTATGCTTTTGAATTCCTCCTACCTGTTGTGCTCATGTGTAATTTCAAGAAAAAGCAGTGTACTTGGAAAAATGGTATACGTTATTTCTTTGTTCTGCTTGTTTTTGACTGTGCTAAATGGGTATTTATGTACTGTTGAGACAAAATAAAGTGGCCTTGTGTTTACACCAGCCTTCATCTGTTTCTGTGTTTGACTTTGGAGGACAGAAAGGAAGGTGGCAAGGTAAAAATTTACAATGAAGACAGTAATACATGGCAGAGTGTAAGAGAAGCACAGAGTGTACCTGCTCCTTGGGGAACTCAGACACACCCACTGTAGAGGTTTGTAAACACGTTTTGTATATCTGACATAATTGACTTTTTCCAGACTCAGAACTCTTCAAGCATTTATTGTAGTTTTAATACCAGACTTTCTGGCTTGATAAATCAAAGCAAGTGCTTCTGCAACATTTTTATTATTTTGTGTACAGGCAAACTATACTGGAATACTTTCTTCTTGTGCTTGGCAGCAAGCACAAGGTCACATCTCCTTTCATTTATTTTTCCTCACTTTCCTACTTTACAAGGTTTAGCCATAAAAATGTCTACAATAGAATAGTGTGTCTGAAACATACCAGGAGCATATTTCCTTAAAACAAAAATTCCCATAGGAAAACCGCTAATTACACACTGAGGAATTGTATGCTACAGTTTTGAAAATTATGTACAGGTTATTATCAACAAAATGCAACATCACGTGTAAAAGAAATAAAGTTGTTCTCTATTTTCTTCAACCAACTTACCAGCACAAGTCATGCAAACTATAGAGGAAAGGCAAAATGAAACTGTTTTGTAGATTAATGTTCCTAATAGAAGAGCCCATTTAGACTTTCAGCATAGGAATTCTGGTACTTAACATTTCAGTTTGGACAATAGCAGGTTTTTGTTAGAATACTCTGTTAGGACTTTAGCTGACACATCTATTTAAAGCAGTGTAAACTTCAGATGTGAGCACAGCACAGATAAACCTGCTTGAAAATGTGAGAGGTTTTGGGCATGTTGTCAGTAAATCTTAGGCTGCAATTACCTGTTTCACTTTAGTGACTGTGATGCAGACATAGTATGTATTTGTGAACACAGAATTTGCAAGCTTGAAGAAATGGTCACTGAATAATCATGAACATATTACTAGTGTAATTTTCATGCCTGCTCCCATGGCTATCCTGGTTTGGGATCTGGTACTGAATCATTTATAGCTGAGCTCAATAGGCTTATAGTTCATGAGCTAAGAGAATAATCAAAATGCAAAAAGAAGGTTGCTTTCCCTGTGATAATATTCTGTAATTGGCTGTCATCCTTCCAAATTAATCAGCTTGTGACTGTATTCTTGCATTGGTTCTGATTAAAACTGTTCATTAGGAATTAGCCTAAAAATATGTCCAGAAGTGCCATGAAATACAGATTAGAATTGAGCAATGCCTCTTCCTTTCATATTTTGTTTTCAAAGTACAATTGTGAAATAGCTATCTTGCTTCTGAGAACTTGGAAGTGCTACTACAGTGCTCTAATCCCAAGCCAGAGTTAAATCACAACCTCCCACCACTGTATGGCTCCTCTGTTACTTCTTAAAGAACATCAATTCCAGCTAGCTGCTGGATAAACTGTTCCCTAAGCTTCTATTTTTGAGGAGAAGAGATGAAAGTAACTTGGGACAAAGGAGGATTATAAGGACAGAACTTCGCCAACTTTTGACTATTAGACTTCCTGTTGCTTGTTTACTACACGTTCCACTTAGTAATACTGTTCTTCTGATCAGCATATGTGAACATTTGTGCATTCAAGTTTTAGCTGAATACACCTCAACTTTATGCTGTACAATACCTTTACATAAATGCCTATGTAAAAATGTAATGAGTTGCTTAGGTCCTCAAATTTATCACTTACTTATAAAAAAAACACAGTTATTTGCATGAGCAAGCTTGTGATGTACTGTGACATTATTCAGGACTTTTCCTGTTGTTCACAAAAAGATTACGGAATGACTCTCTAAACTGGTCCACCTGTTTACATGTGGAACTGTCTTTGAAAGACAGTGGGTGCATCCACATTAGCATTTTAGTTCAGAGAAGGAGTGAGTATTCAGAGTCTTTGAGCCATCTATATTTCTCTGTTCTCTTTGCATCACTTTTAAACTAAATAGACAATGTATCTGGAAAAAGAGAAACATCACCCTCATTTTTTAAAAGAGTAGAAAGGAAGATCTAGGAAACTATGGACTGTTGGGAAAGTCATGGAACAGATCCTCCTGGAAGACATGTTAAGACGCATATAAGATGAGGAGGTGACTGAAACAACCATCATGGCTTCACCAAGGGCAGATCATGCCTGACTAATTTGGTGGTGGTCTTCTGTGATGGAGGTGCAGCATCAGTGGGTAAGGGAAAGCGTCAGCCTTCTTGTGACCAATCTGAAATTCTGCAAGGCTTTTGAAAGGGTCACATATAACATCCTTATCTCTGAATTGGAGAGAAAAGAATTAGAAAGATGGTCTATTACATGGATAAGGAATTGGTTGGATAGGCACAGCCAGAGGGTTATGGCCAACAACTCTAAGTCCAGGTGGAGGCCAGTGACATGTGACATCTGTCACGACCCTTTGGATCAAAGTCACTGAGGTTTCCAAATTTCTTTGGGCTCAATTAAGGTGAAATAACACTGAACAATTAGCTAAGGTTTTATTTATATCCCAGTATGATACTTGGCACAAGACATACAGTATATTTACACATATATGTATATTTATCTGTCTATACATTATTGGTAAGAAACGATGATGATATACCTTGCATTACATTCTAAAATAACTGGAAAGGAGATAGAGAAAAAGAGAGAGTGAGCTCTAGGGAGAGAGAAAAGAGGGACTGGATAGACAAGGAATGAAAATCGAGATCATTACCTTTGGTTCCAGCATAGTCTCCAGTCTGGTAATGTTCAAGTGACAGGTGCACACCTGACCACTGATTTGTAGTGTTCCTATTTATTGCAAAAAGTGGGATGTTTTGGTACTTGCATGGAAGATGGGAGTAAGAGAGATTCAGCATTTGTGTGTGTATGGAAGGGGAAAAGGTAGTTTCAATCCTTACCTTCAGTTGAGGCAGGAGGTCAGTCTGTTCCTTATCATGTTGGTCACACTGGCATCATCTTGCAAGAGTGGGACTTGTGCAGACTTGCAGAGAGCATTAGAACTGTCCATCCTCTGATGCATCATATACCTTTTTGAGGAAATTCATTTTCCTTGTTCTGACTGCAAACTAAGCATATTATTAACACTCATTCTTCATCACTGTGCAATGCCTCAATGGTTGAGACATTGAAACATTTTTTGGACATTTTTCACAGGACTTTATACCACATTGTGGCTCAGAGATTTGGTACGTTGCTTATTCTCATGGGTATCTATGTCTTCTTCTACACTGGTGATCCAGATGTAGTGAACAAAAGGGGAAAGGGAAAAAAGAATAAAAGACAATATACCTTTTACAATTAAAATCCTCATAATCGGAAAAACAAATCCACACAGTTCTGCACCTGTGGAAACACAATAATAATCATGATGATAATAGTAGCAGTAATTAAAAAGAGATTTTATTTTTTTTTTTTTTCCCATGGCCATCAGTTTCTACCCATGCATAAGAACTAACAGGACTTTTAAGGGTTAGAGGGACCATTCCAGTAGTAGATAATTCTACCAGAACTGGCTGTCCGGGTTACTGGAATTGATTTGTTGAGTCTTTATTCTCTCTTTTTTCCCAGGAGTATCAACAGGAGGATTTAAGTAAAACAATGAGTTGTGGACAACCATTGATTCCCCACTGGCTATTCACTCTTCTGTCTGTGTCTGATACCCACTGTGCTCATCTGTGTTCATGGGGTTTCAGAGCTCATTTCAAGAGCCCATTAGCACATTCCGCAATACCATTCACTTGGGTGTAATAGAGGGTGTGGAATACTAACTGAATCCATTTGCCTCAGGCCCACTCTTGAACAACCTTATCAGTAAATTGACTCCCATTATCTGATTGTTTTGGATATGGGTAAACGTCTAAAACACATCCAGACTTCTCCTGCTGTTACCTCCTGTGGCCCATAGGACTGCTGTGGCCTGGGTCAACCCTGACGCTATCTTGACTCATACTAATAAGGATTGCTTCCCTTCAGAAAGTTGAAATGGAGTGATACAATCTACTTTCCAAGTTTCCCACAGCCCTTTGTTATCTTTCACAGGCAGTGGTCAGTTCTTAAGAGGGTTGTATTCTCCCAGTCAGATGTGACATACAACACATGCTGAAATAATGGCATCGCATAACTTTCTGGTTACAGACCATCCTCTACTGACTGTATCTTTGAATAAATCCTTAATTCCTGAGTTGCCTCATTTTACACGCAACTATTCCAGTAAATGCTCCCACTTTTCTTCTTTACTCTCCACAGATACCACTGCTAAGTGGGTTAGCAAGTCTACCTGATTATTCAGAAAATGCGCTGGCTGGTCTCCTGGCTGGTGTGCAGCAACTCATCCTATCAAAAGAGTATTTACTTTCACAAAATGGAAAGTTTATTTATTTTCCTTCTGTCATAAAGTTCCCCATTAACTTCCCATAAAAATAGCCACTCAGAGCATTCTTTAAACACAGTATACAAGTCAGTGTAAATAAACACCAGTTCTTTAGTTTCAGCTTCCCTAATGACTACAATCCA